ATAAAAGCTGATTCATTCAGCCATGTTGTTTTGTTTGGAACGGTTTTGTTTACTGAGCAAAAGTTGACAAATAACTGCAATACTGTGTCTAAAACAGGGCTTGAAAACTAGAAAAAATTAAATAAAAATCAGTTGGTGCACTCCGAGCAGAATCAATATTTTAACGCATTTTATTCTTACATAAAAAAATAATTTAGGCTAAAATGCTGGTAAAGCAAAATGTTTACAAACATTATAAACAGCTATTAGTTTCCTTCTCTCCACAAAAAAACCCTGTAAAGTTAAAACGATTTAAAGCATTTAGGCTATATAAACCTCAAGCCAAAAACAAATTAATTTAAGGTGAAACTGATGACTACCTCTCTCATTCCGCACAAATCCAAATGTTTCCATATTCGCGACGTATCTGGATGTTAAAATATTATTTACTAGGCTATGTAATTATACGGTGCACTCCGAGCAGAATCAATATTTTAACGCATTTTATTCTTACATAAAAAATAATTTAGGCTAAAATGCTGGTAAAGCAAAATGTTTACAAACATTATAAACAGCTATTAGTTTCCTTCTCTCCACAAAAAAACCCTGTAAAGTTAAAACGATTTAAAGCATTTAGGCTATATAAACCTCAAGCCAAAAACAAATTAATTTAAGGTGAAACTGATGACTACCTCTCTCATTCCGCACAAATCCAAATGTTTCCATATTCGCGACGTATCTGGATGTTAAAATATTATTTACTAGGCTATGTAATTATACATGTAATAGGCTATGTAGGCTTTGTACTTCACTCATATCGAACATCATCCTTCATCCCTCAGCACAGTGAGGCACTGGTCACGCTGAATGCAACAGATTGTACAACGGAGCAGTCAGTGTTACTTTTGATATGTTTCTTTTATATGTTTCTGTATTTTATTCTGATAATAAACAGGCTGCAATGTCACAAAATATGTTGTGTCTGTGTGCGCGTGAGGCGCCGGCGCAATAGTCATACCAATGCTGGTTGGTTGCACAGATAGAAGCAAGACATCATTCAAAACTGTCAAGCTTTTGCAAAATAAAGAAAACTGTAAAATAAAGAAAACTGTAACGCTTTTGCAAAATAAAGTTCAGAGCCCTGGTCTAAAATGTAAACTGCAATGGTACTACAGATCTAACTTAATCACTTTTGGGGGCAATATAATACATTTTGGGGACTGAGCAGTCAGATACTTTTTATTTACAGTTTTTAGTTAAGATAACTAGGTAAAAGGGTACCTTGATAGTTGAACTACTTAATCATGAACAGTTTGACAACTACAGTATAAAAGTTACTTTACCAATACTTTTTACACAAGCTGTTGTACGAGACTTTGTGTTACATGCTTACATTAATGCTGCTATTTGTTTTTGTAACACCTTTAGCTTCTCAGTGTCAGGGGAGATGAGATAGATTGAGGCGATTGTGTATACTCATGCAGAGCAGAGGATTGTTGCTTCCCTGGGCCACATGTTCGCACCCATCCCCTGCATGCTTTTTTTTAATGAGCCCTTCAACCTGGAAGTCCCCCATCCATCTGCCACCTTCATGTAATTGGGACCACCAAGCTGTCCCAAGGCACCCAGCATCCATCTCTCTGTGTGCGGCATGAGAAAAAGAGTAGGAAGTGAAATTACCACGCGGATCGCAAACAAGTACCTCGTTGCTGCTGACCTTTACATGATTTTAATTTACACACGCAAGGCAACCACTGCAGAGCCATAAGGCAATGAAGTTCAGGCTGAAGTGACAACATATAGGTATTGTTATGCGTGTGAGTTGCTATGAATCAGCAACACCCTGAGATCATAAAATGGCACATGGATTGCAGAGGAATGAGAATGCTCTTAAGTGAAAGCTGTTTCAAACTTCAAATGAATAAGTCATAGCGAGCGTGCGGGGCTAGTAATATCAATAGTATTCTCAAATATAAAGTGTTACTGAAGAACGGGAACAATATATTTTTTAAATACACGACAATCCAACAATATTATTTCAAATGCAATAATCTATTTGGCACAAATACAATTTACATTAAATTCAACATGATTTCAGATGCTAGCATTTAACTAAATATTCCGCTATAAAAAGAGAATGCCTATGCCATGCCAGAACTCAAATCTGTTCTTTTACACAAACTGTAAATCTGTTCTTTCACACAAAGCTACAGCATTCAGAAAGCTAAAAGAGGGAATGTACCCTTTACCTTCAGACACATTTGTCCCTGAGACACCCAGGTTGAGAAAAATGCTTACAGCCTAACTACATCTAGAAAAACCGAATATGCTGCACAACTGCTTGCAGCTATTAGTATTGATGCTCCTATTATTGCTCCTTCAAAGTCGCTGATTGCACCCTCTGTGGAAAAAACCCCCAAAACAAAACGCTACCACCACTAAACAACATGTGGTTGTGTGTGTATCTGTTAACATGCTCAGTGTGGTCTTCTGTCATGTCAGCATTTCTACAATGCCTCTTGCTTCTGTTGTTCCCTAGTGTGTAGAAGCATCATTGAGCAGACAGCAGCCCGGGGCACAGTGAATAGCCCTTGCTGGAGATGAATGGATATGCACACTCTCACCAGTCACCCTCTTCTACCAGAGATCAAGTGTGAGGCAAGACCTCTCCCAGGTGTCCCATCATTAATTAAGTGTGAGACTGCTCTACTGTTCCTGCCTGGATCAGCTCAATCCGTCTATGGATAAAATATGATCGCACACCTCTTATTTGTCGGACCCTGGGGTGACGTGCATGGGTGGGGAGTCAGAGGACTGTGCCAAATAGCACCTTACAAGTGTAGCCACTAGACCCCAAACCACTCAGAACAGCCCAACATCGGTCACAGCCTGGGACCCTCAGGGGGTGGAAAACCTGTCAGCTTCTACAGGTACTTCACTTTCTGTCTATGCTGACATTCAGCAAGGGAGCACTAAAAATGAGACCTATGGAAAATTAATTTGTGGGCACAGCATGAATCAAACTGCCTGAGGGCCTAGAAATTGATCTGGGAGAGTCTTAGAAAATGGCGATCTTGCTGGAGTGGGAACATTCCTGTAGAAGTATTTTGACTATTTATTAAAGATGTTGTGGTCAAAACCTGAATCTCTAATTTTGCTATTAATGTGAGAGTGTCTTAAAACATTTACTAATCAAAGTAGAAAAATATAGTGCTCATAAAATTAGTGATTTGTTTCATTGAATCTCTTTTAGAATGCATTAATTAGCTTTCATCATGAGCGCACTGTAGCACTTTCATTGACAATAATATTGCAAAGCATACATTGTCCTAACCCTAACCTAACCTAACCCCAACTAACTCAAGGGGCAGTGATTGGTCGATCAGAATGGTACAGTCCCCAGCCTTCAACCTTAGCCAAGTCCTAAACCCCCAAACCTAATCCTACATCACTTAATTCTGATATTATTCCAGGACCAACAAAGATGTTAATCCAGGATTATACCTTACTCAGCAAAAGCACAGACCAAAAGCATGCACTAACATTCATCCATTTGGTCACAGGAATGCTGGACTCTATCCCAGCATCTTTAAGCATAACAGGTGGGCTGTCCATCACAGGGCTAAAATACACAGACAGATACATACATTCACACTCTCACTCATACTTACTGCAGTCTCTAGTTCTCCTAACCTCTAAGTATTTGGATTGTGGGGGAAATTGAAGTATTCAGATGAGCCACTCCAATATGGAAAGAACAATCCATACAGAATGATCTCCTGAGTTGCTGTGAGGTAACAGTTATAATATCCTAACACAATATATAAATAACATTCACTCAGGGATGTGACCTACTAGTTGACATGTTAAGACATGGGTGATGTGAGTTCATGTCCAGCTCTTGTCTTACTGGAAATATAGATGGCCAAAAGGCCAAGAAGGACAAAGCGCCTTCATGTCCTGAAATTATCTGCATGAGTTTGAGGGCTCTTATCAATAGTTGGGTTGTCAACGCACTGATGAAGTCACACTGCAGTCAGCACTGACATGAGAGGTTATTATTATGCTGGTTGATCTGTTTAAAGGTGAGAGAATAAGTCTTCTTGGCCTGTCGGTGAGCGGTGCCCTAGGGAGAGTTATGGCTTTAATACGAAGACTGCTGCTTCAATTTTTCCCCTCGCATCAATGAAATGTCTGCACGATCAGACATTCATTGGCCTCATGTCAGACTGTGTTAAAGAAAGCATTATGGTAGTTGACACTCCACAAGGCATCTAAACAGCACATACTGTATAGTACAGCACAGATAGAAGTGCTTTGCTCAGCCCCAGGGAAGATAGTTATCATATATGCATCCTTATATCGTTCCAAAACTTTATTATTTTCCTTATTCTGTGAAACACAAAATAGTGTTTTATAGTGCCAAGCTCCAAAATGAAACAAAAGTTGTATAAAATTATCAAAAAGTTTCAATGTTTTCTAAAACAAATGATAATGATAGCTTTGTGTGAGGAACAAACTAAAATAAGATGTTATTCACTGATAATCTTCCCCTTATTTGGAGCACACAAATGCTGACTTTTTGGCACACTAGTCCCATAAGGTATAATGCTTTTAATGGTAAACTCCATTGTTCTTGCCATGGCTAAGGCAGAGGGTAACACAGAAGAAATTAAGACATAAAGGTTTGGAACAACATGAGATGATAATCCCCCCTCCCCCCCAATCTTTCTTCTTCTTCTTTTTATTTTATTTTTTTACATATTTTACATAACATAAACAAAACTTTTGAAAGCTGGACACAGACTCACCATATCTCATTGGAAAATTTCGATAGCTTCAATACTAAGAAGCCAGATGCGAGAGTTTAGACATGAGGTCTCTTAAATTCTCGTGTCTTACATGAAAACATAAATGCACAATAAACACGTTTTTACACTGTTGAGTATTTGGCCACCCTCACAATTTTGTCTACATTCTTGGTTTAAGGAGACTAAATGGAGAAAATCAATGGATCTTACCTGAATTGTAGGTGGTGAGCGCTGTTTGCGGGTAGTGGTGGTTGACAGGGTGGTGGTGGTCTCGATGAAGGTGGTGGACATCTCTGGGGGCATGGAGGTGGTGGTACGTGAGGGACTTCTGCTGGTGGGCACATCCCCCACCAGTCTTACACTGCCATTTATCTTGATGTTAGCATGACCTTCAGCTGCCATGTTGAGAACCTTCAGGCCATTGTAATATAGACCAGAGAGCTGGCCTTGATATGGTCGCTTGCGGTCATTACCGCCTATTGAGATGGTGGCTTGGGTGTTAAAAATGGTCAACTGACGACCTGAGGGGAAGACCAGTGAAGGAAGACACAATCAGAATGGTTTATATTACTTATTTTATTTTATTTATTTATTTTAATTTAGCTAATTGATTAATGTTATCATTAATGGGCTATCTTTTAACATCCAAGCATAGTATTAAAAATTAAGATTAACTTTTTTTTTTCTTGTTCACTGTGAGGTGCTTCTCATGCAAACCTTTTGGGGCAAATTCCAAATGGTTTCTCATATGATTAGAAATAGAAATGCAGGCCAATTAAGACTATTACACATTTACAATTCTATATTACAGTGGGCAAGGAAGAAAGCTCATCTCATACATTTCAAAGGAATATCATGTTGATTCATGCATGTAGAACCACTAATGGGATTTCAATGTGGTTTTAGACAGTGTTAAAGGGACTTTATAATCATCTTATGTAGTTTAGGCAATGATCTTTAAACGCATTTAATAATCCAAAGGACTTTAATGTTAAATTTGATAAATGGTCACCCCGCCCTTCCATCCTGTTTTTGAATGAAACTGAAGAGGTGTCGGTCGATTTCATCACCGGCTTCAAACACAAAACTGCATTAGTCAGCAAACTGGCATTTCATTTCAGCACCAATTTGTTGTCTTTGGAAACGTGCTGCATTAAGGGTTGGGTTTTTGGATTATTCGACCACTAACATTACCACTGTGGAAGATCATTCCAAAGAAAATTAAAAACAAACATCCTGACTTTTGTTGAGTTTTGGTTTAGATTTAAAGTTGGAGTCCAGAAGCTACGTACTTATGCAGTGTTATTCTTAGTTACCAGTCCCTTTAACTGGTCAATGATCTGATGGAAATAACAAAAGAGGATCACAATCCACATAAAAAATAATACTCAACGAAAATATTACGTAATGGGAAGGGAAGTAAATTATGAACATTTTAGGTTAATTAGTGGCAAAAGGAGTAAAAAAGGTAAGCAAAAAATCATCAGACCTGGTTGGACAAAAATATAACGAAACGACATGACAAGGAGCATATGAACGCAAATTAAAATCAACGAAAAAAACACTGAGGTCTTGTGAGGGTTACCTTTCTCATGTAGCCAATCTTCGACCGGCCGGGTATATTTGAACGGGATTTTCTTATTAGCCATTTGATAACGCTCATTGTCGCTGTTGCCTTTAAAGTTTGAAAGACATCTTAGCACATTGCACATTTATACACTGTTTAAGAAGGTTTAGCCGTGTTTAAAATGATTTAGGTCTTGTTATCATAGGCAGTTTAGGTTTCATTGTAAGGTTTTCTTCAGTTGTAAGATTATAAGGCATTTTTATTAAATAGTAGCCAACTAAATAAACAGTTTAACACATAATTATTGCAAGAAGAATCACGGACCACATTCAGACTTTAAGACAAAATACAGACAACCGTTAAAGCGAGACATACTAACAATTCATTTCAAACTGCATTTCCACTGAGCGTCTGTAACAGGTGATCTACCGCTCAGCAATCAAATGAGGTGTAACTGTTTTCCCACTGGACATCATATGCTTTTACTTTTCAAGGTGCCAAGGAACTCTTTACGAACTATTAAGGTAAGGTAATGAGCGAAAGGGAGTGAATGAGAAAGAGAGAGAGACAGAAATAAAATAGATAATGTGTAGAAGCTCTAAACCTGATGGGAAATAAAGCTTGTGATGACACAGATTTGAGGAAGACACTGCATACAGATGAGGTCATTACAGCATGGTGTGAGGCCTGCTGCTGCAGGGTCCCTGGAAGCCCTCTGAGGCATTGGGCCGCTTGAATATTTTGCCATTATTTGTACTTTGTTACACTTTCTCCGACTGGAGTGAGGTGTTAGGGCTGCAAGAGTGATCTAATATTTGCCATCTTGGGTGTATTTACTGTGTGTCACGTCCAGCTGCACTTCATATTTCAAGCACATGAACATGAATTAGATGAATGTTGGTCATAATGAATGAAATGGCATGTCTGTCTTTCAAACTAAAGGATATTAAACTGATTATTTTTCATACTTTGAACTATAAGTACGATAATACAGTGAACAAGTCATATAGTGCAAGTGTACAAGTCACTTTCATAATGTTTTTATGCTGCTTTTTAAAAGGTTTTTCAAACTCAACAGCATCTGTACCCACTCACTTCATTGCATGAAAAATAGCAGCATGAACACTCTTCATGCTGGGTAAGTAACATTCAACATGAGGGTAAGTAGATGATTACAGAATTAAATTTTTTAGTTCCTATGCATTTTCATGTACACCAAGCGGGGGGGGGGAAATATACTTTACAGCAGTACTCAGAATAGGTTGTAATAGTAAAAAGAAAAAGTAGAAGAAAAACCCTACAGCTTGAGAGGGACTTCAAAAGAGCAAAGTTACTCAACACATCTCACTTAGCTAAATAAGTCACTGAGCGCTGAGTCACAGCGTACCTTCTCAGAACTAGAAAGAGAAAAAGGTGCATAGAATAGGAGTGCTATTCAGAAACACAAAGGTTCTGCAGTGACAGTGATGTGAAATGGACGAGGCCGGTGGCGATTCAAGGCCCCCGCTTTTCTTGTGCTTTCCTTTTTAAATAGGCAGAAAAAGGGCTTCAAAGTGGGCTGGTTACTGCTGGCTGAGCAGGGGGGATATGGGGGAGGTAAAGGGGTGAGGGTGGGGGTGGGGGGAAATAAGCAGCTTCCAGGGATGCCGATGTCT